AGTATGGACTATGCCTCCACTACTATACTTCTTAGCGCATTCCATTTTTTAACTACTCTAACACTGAAAAAACTTTGTCTCTGTGGCGCAATTAGTTACTGAGTTTCCATCTGTGTCCCTTTGTTCGCATGTCACCCCCATGCTGAATATTCTGTCCTTGTCTGCTATGAGTAGTTTGTATGTGGGAATCATGTCTCTCCTGTTTCCTCCTCTTCCAGTGACGTGAGGTTTACCACTTGTAGTCGTTTCTTGGAGCTTATCTCTCTCAGCTCTGGGACCAGTTTGGACATGTAGCAGGTGGCGGTCAGTTAGCTGGCACTGACTATTATTACCTATTACCTACTTAATAGTAAGTAGGTCTTACTATTACCTACTTAAATAGCCATGATTGATAATCAACCAGTGGAAATTACACCCTTCGTTATAAAGATTAGAATAGGGTAGTCCTTGTACTAGTAGTAGTGGTAGTTGAGATTACTAATTATAGCGACATATAGCAGAGGCTGTCTGACAGTCTGGTGTGTTGAGAGGGCATGTTCGTTCGTGAGTGTGCGCGTTGAGTGTAAGCATCCACACACACACACAGAGGTCGGTCGAGGGTAGGTGGAGGTGGACAGTGATAAAGAGCCCCTACGTCCCTCATCGCCACCCACACCCTTTCCCCATGCCTCTCCACGTGGGTGTTCAAGTGGCCCATGTTATATTTAAAACAAAACTAGATTGTCACACACCATCCCCACCTCGTCAAGCACTACAAATAAAACACACACACACACACTTTACATATATATACACACCCACATATCCATCCACACACACACACACACACTTTACATATATATACACACCCACATATTCATCCGCACACACACACACACACACACACAAACAAACACACACACACATCCACCCACACATTCACCCCTCCCCCTACAACACACACACACAAGGGCAGCAACATACTCTCCCACATGTTACACACAGGGATCACACTAACGTGATGCATCAAATGATTAAGGCAGTGTCGATTAAGGCAGTGTCTGGGTTGCTCCCGGACGCAGGTTCGAATCCTCGTCACGGCCCTTGTGGATTTGTTCTCTCCCACACGTCTTCAGCGCCAGGCACCTCGGACGCGTGTTAAACCACCCTGCCACGTTGTATTCTCTCTCCCTGAATTGGTAATCGCAATTTAGCAAACAGGAAGTGTGATCAGAGAGTATCGCGTCTGCAACCTGAGAAGGCCAGAAAATCTAAGAAACCGGTAGATATTTTATGCTACCGGTGTTGCCCTTTGTCCAGACTATTGATGAATTCCGGAGATTTAGGTGAATTTTAATTCTATCCAGCTGGGTTGGCTTTGCGTAAGAATATCAATTGGCTTAAAAAGCAAAGTCACCCCTAACTGAGACACGTAATAGATGTAATTCACATTCGTAACAACTTTACAGCGTTACAGCTTCTTAATTAAAAATGAACTGAAAAGTAATTACATTCATTGCTATGGTCACGAAGACGAAATAGCAAGTTTTGGTTGTCGACAAATTTCTTTAAAAACGTAGAAACGCCTGAATTTTCGTAGCGGAGGTTTGTGAGGGAGATGACACCACCTGTCTGCGTCCAGCTTGACCTCTCAACCAACAGGTCGCATGTTTACGTGACGGTAACCAACGTTACCGAGGCAACTAATATGAAAATCAACGGATCACAAATATCTTCGTTTTCTGTGCATATTAAAAGAACGAGATGCTCTGTTACCCCCCACTTGTCTCGGTCACCCCCGCTTTCCTCTGTCACCTCGCTTTCCTCTGTCACCCCCGCTTTTCTGTTAACCCAGCTTGTCTGTGTCACCTCGTCTATCACGTTTATGTCACCTTGCCAGCCCCTGACACCCTGCTTGCTTCTGTCACCTGGTCTCCTGCTATCCCATCCCATCTAACCTATTATATTTGCTCATCTATCTCACGGAAAGAGAGTTCTCCCATATGACTAATCTGGGATTCCATGTTCTGAATTATATTTCCATTGTTGTTAATTTAAAAGATTTCTCGCCTATCAGCTTTGACAATCCCTCTGAGAATCTTTAACATCTGGATCATGCAACTTTTTCTCCCTTCTTTTGTTTCCAACGTGAAGTTAAGTTTTCTCCGTCTATCTGCCACTGGTCTCACATACGTGGTATATCAGAAATCTGAAGGTCACCTTGTTCAAAAGTTAGTGAAAGCCGCTCCAATGTTCGTTAGCTTTATGTATAATTGTGATTATTCTTCCGACATAAGATTCTTGCTCCTAGACCCAAAGTGAACTTTGATACTTTTGATTTGTCTCGCTTTATGTCCTATTCTTCTCGTATTGGCATCCTGAGAGACATTTAGCACCTTTTGAATATCCCGGGACACAGGCGATGCTACACAGTCTTCCTGGTTTGATGCCGTCTTCTGATAATTACTTACACACGATCTACCTCTTTTTCTTGAAATGGGAAGGTGTTGCTTACTTATGGTGCATCAAGTCGGTCGTTTGCCACCAATTTCATTATTTTTGTACCTGTATCATGTTGAGGTTAAGCAACAGTTTCTCAAGTGATACTCTTAAAGTCGCTCGGACTGCTGGAGATGTCAACTGTCCACCTCTTGACTTTTACGTTACTTCTGCTTACACAAACATTAAGGAAACTCGTCTCACAGTCAGCTCATGTGTGTGTTTTTACCGAGTTATACTTACCTAGTTGTACTTGCGGGGGTTGAGGTTCATCTCTCTGGTCCCGCCTCTCAAAATTCAATCAACTGATGTACTAGTTCACAGGCATATTGGGCTTTGCGGAACAGGGTCCAAAACTTGAGAAAAGTATGAGCCATTGTACGTCATCGCTACTCTTTAAACACACCTAACCTAACCTAAACTAACTTAATCCAACCCAACCTAATACTGAAACTAACCCAACCCAATCTAATCTTTTTCAACCCAACTTAACTTAAATTATAGTAAGTTTTGTGTTACATATGGTGATATGGTTTGTGGTTTGTGGCGACAAAGTGAGACCATAGTGTTCTTTGCCGTCCAGGTCACAGGTCACACTACCAGCGTGTGTGTGTGTGTGTGTGTGTGTGTGTGTGTGTGTGTGTGTGTGTGTGTGTGTGTGTGTGTGTGTGTTTCCCTCAGAGTACCCCCTATCTTCTCGCAGCAAAAGAACCCTTCAGGACGCTGGAGGCAACTCAAAGCACGAACAATGGCCACATTATGACTACGCAGACACGTAAAAACGCTCTTACTCAAATTCACGCACGGTAGCTCACGTTTCACGCCCCCTTCCTCCCCTCTGCGTTCTGTTTCACAATCAAGAACTAGAACCTGAAATGATTTTTTCAACGTTAAATAATAACATCAATAATAATGATAATGAAAATAATAACACGAATAATAATAATACGAAAAGTAATAATAACACGAATAATAATAATACGAATAATAACAATAATAAATAAAAATAATAAAAATATAAATAATACAACATTTTATATAAACAATTAGAGATAAAATGTGTTGACGCTTCTTCCTGCCAGGGGCCGTATCCACATCCTTGAAGGAAACGGTTCCGGGGCCACCAGTAGCAGCAGCAGCAGCAGCTGTGGGAATCATGCCCCTCACCCACAAGCTCTCCCACAGGAACTTCGTAAATGCTACGTCATGTGAGAGACGGACATATGTGAGTGATCCTCTGGCAGCATTCTTGAGGGCCAACACCATAACTGTCTTCTGGATGACAGATATATTCATATTCTCTTTCTCTCTCTCTGCGTCTGTCTTTGTCTCCCAGACGCCGCTATATATTGGCGCTGTCATCTGTGAATCAGGTAATATTTCCGGTTGTTAAGGTGTCCACTATGGCCGCCGTGGTGGATGGTGATCAAATTTTATCATGCTTTGTTCCATTTACTTTTTTATTTATATTATTTGCATTACAAAAATGTAAATATCTCAAAAGGTGTGCGTGTGTGTGTGTGTGTGTATGTGTGTGTGTGTGTGTGTGTGTGTGTGTGTGTGTGTGTGTGTGTGTGTGTGTGTGTGTGTGTGTGTGTGTGTGTGTGTGTGTGTGTTTTGAAGAGCATGAAATCAAATTCATTTTATAACACTGATTACAGCATTAGCGAAAGAAAAAGATCAATGATCGTTCTTCTCGATCTACCATTGTTTAAAATGTTAATTTCCTTCTTGTCCTCCCCACGTTTCTTCTATTGTCTTCCTTTCTTGGAATTATTCTCGTATCTTTCCTTTAACATTTCCTCAACATTTCGTCTCCTTCTCTTCTAATTTTCTTTATACTATCTCGAAAATGGTCTTTATCGAGGTGTGCATCTCCCTGCACTATCACAACTGCCAATTACACCTTGATGTAACGATCGAAGGTGGACACACCAAATAAGCTTCACTAACTACTCGTTCCGATAATCGGTACTAAATCACTATAAGCGACAGTTAACATAGCGACTTGCAGTGGAAACGCACGTCCTGATAAGGAGAATAATGACTTGGCTTTTATGGTGATAGGGAGTGTGTCAGAGACGCCTAGCCACCCCATTCCCATCACTTATCCCATAGTCTCCCCCTCCCTCTTCCCATTTCTCAACCCGCCTAGCCTCCATCCCCTCCTACCTCCAAAACCTCCTAACCCCCTACCATGATTTCCTCATCCCCACCCTCTATGCTTGCTCGTCCTCCTATCCTAGATGCCCCCCTCCCTCTATCCTCTCCAACTCACCTCATTCCCCTGTCCCCGATCGCTCCCAATTTGTCATCCCCCGGTAATTACTTAGATTAGTTCACTGTGTAGTCCTCCTGAGCGGCTTCTGTGCGTCCACTGCTGCTCCTGGTGCCCTTACGCTGAAGCCACTGCTAATACTGCTACTGTTATTACTCTTGGCAAGGCTGGCCGCTGTAAATGCTATAGTTTTAGCTACTTACGGTATTTTAATTACAGTATTTCAGTACAGTATTCTACTAACTAGTATTTTAGTTACTGCTGATAACTGCTGCTTCTGGTTGTCATTACTACTGCTGCCGATATTGGTGTCACTCCTACTCATGCTACCGTTGTTGCTTCCATAGTTACTGTATTGCGTTTGCTATCGTTAATATCGCTGATGTTATTACTATAGATATCGCTATTATTGTAACTGTTGTAAACAATTATATTGTTTACTCTATTTTGTAACCACCTTGTTGAAGTTTTTGTTTTGCTGTTGTCCTTGACACTCAACCACTTGAGTTCGGTAATGGCAATAATAGAAGAACTGGACACACGTAATCCATTTATTTATACTCCCAAAGTGCTATATTGTCGTAATGGCTTCGAGCTTTCTCCTGATAATTCCCTTCCCTTCTCTCTCGTTCTGTACATTAAATTAAGTTGTAGATAAATATAAGAACAGGTTTATCAATTAGCCTCTACTAATTAACTGGTCATGCAATAATAACTATAAAAAAATATATGATTTAATGTCATCAATCACCATTAGAATGAATGCATATTTCTCGCTATATTAGTTTCTGACACGAGAATAATTTCCGTTTAATATTTTCAGCAGCTTCTGAAGATGAGTTCACGATAGTAATTTTTTAACTACCTGAACCTACTGTTAATGTCTCATGCTCTCATTCTACCTATGTCCTAGGACTTGACTACTTTACCATGCCCTCAGAGCGCCCGCTACCTCGCGTCCACTTCCGATGCCCAATGATCCTAACTGCGCTCCAATTCAATCCAACTTGGACCATATTCTTGCTTCTACTCGATGCAGTGTGAGGGTAATTCTTACAAGGTGATCTTAGGTGCAGAGTGTTCACAACTCACGCGTAAGAAACTTGGGAGCAGTATGACCCCTTAACACACGATTTCTTTCGGACCAGTATGGCTCAAAGCCGTGGCTACATTTGCTAAGAAATAAACCCAAATTCAGAGTCAATTTCACTCCACTGTGGTGTAAATTCATGACCAGTGTTTGATCCATGATGGCCCTATTTCGTGACCAGCCATGGACCTATTTTTTTGGCCACCTTGGGTCCAACGTGGCCCTCTCTGTCTCGAATTCTTTTCAGCGGTGCGTCTGGTAAGCGGGACCAAAGCTCGATCACAAGGCGTTTACTTTGGTTCCCCAGAGGAGCCGGCCAGGATGACAGGTACGTGCGCTGACTTCCTATGACCACATCAACCTGGCTCGCTTCGTCTCTCTCTCTCTCTCTCTCTCTCTCTCTCTCTCTCTCTCTCTCTCTCTCTCTCTCTCTCTCTCTCTCTCTCTCTCTCTCTCTCTCTCTCTCTCTCTCTCTCTCTTACTGTCTACCTGTACTCTTGTTCTCTCTGTCTCACTCCCTTTTGCCTTTCAATATCACTCATGTTCCTTCTCGCTTCATTTTTTTCTCCTGTTCCTGCAGCGTCTCTCGGGCTGTGAGAGTCCAGCACAGCGTAAATACTCAGGGACGGGGGACGGACTCCACGAGCTCCCTGTGATCGCACGCTCAACAAACAAGGTTCGCGGGCTCACGCTCGATCGATGAACGTATCGATTTCTTCTACACATCGCCCTCCATACCAGCAAACACCGTGAGTCGTGTTCCAGTGTGCATGCTGTGCATTTGCTTGACTCTTGGCTCTGTATCAGTCAGTCTTTTCCTGCTTGCCTCTGCGAGGCACTCTTTTATATGATGGCAACGAAGGTATTAAAAATACACAAATATGCAAAACCAGAAACAAGACATAGAAATGTATATGAATAGTAAGACAGCTAAAACAAATTAAGTAAATAGACACATAAGAAAGAACAATAGATAGACTAACAAGGAACAGATATTTAGAAACCACCAAAATTAACGTTATTCTGACATTAATGTCAGGGTAACTTTTCGAAATCGCCATTTTATTTCTCATCGGAAGAAAGTCGAGGGTAATTGGGCGCCGGCAGGAAGAAGTTGGCCATATGGTACTCAAGACGATTCCACACACCTCGTTTTTCAATTTGTTACAACCGTATACATTATTAAGATACGATATTTCAGCTTAGGTTAGTTCCTTTTAAGCTTGACTGAGTTAGATTAACTCACCGAAACCAAGCTAAAGCAAGTTTTTTCGATAATTAAATACATCCCCAGAGGATATATTAGCTTAGGCTATTTTTACCTATACCTAATTCAATAGTTATCAGTGGAGTTAGGTTAAGTTATACCACTTACGGGCTATTCATGCCTGTGCTACCTCTTGGGTGGCTTAATCTTCAACAGTAAAATCAGGTCAAGTTAGCTTGGTTAAAGTTAGATAGATTTTAAAAACCGTTGACGAAACGTCTTGTGCTCTCACCTAATTGAGCTTGCGGGGGATGAACTTCAGCTCCTTGGTCCCGCCTTTCAAGTGGTGGTGTACGAAGTGGCGAAGGAAGATGCGGCGGTAAATCATCAAAGAAGTTAAACTAAAACCCAAGTGGTTTGGGAGGGGGGGGGGAGAGTTACCCTACACATCCCAGGGGATTCGCATGCGACTCTCAACTCTATGTCGTTCTGCAAAATTGTTAGTTTTGCGCAACATAGAATGAACGTGGCTTGAAGTTGCGAGTAATAATTATTATTATTTTCATATATGTTATCAAGTGGCTCATCTTGTGGTGTATGCTGCAGGTGATGCAGTGAATTAATTTGATATTTCGTAATTTACCACTAGTACTCATGTTTTGTTTTTATAATAATGTTATCTTTATTTCCATGTACTGTGTACATGTATTACTTCCCGTCTCCGGCATATTAGAGGCTTCGGCACATGTGCGTGTTTCCTAATAGCGGAGGATGCTGGTTTGTTTGGTAATTGGTGTGTAGCAAACAATGCAACTTTGTGATACAGCACCTAAGGCTCGTAGCTGAATGTGTGTTTTGTGGGCGATGAGTCACAATAACGTGGCTAAAGTAAGTTTTTTGTCGTTTTCTCGTTTTGTCATTTAACTACAACTCGCGTGTCGTGTACGCTCGTTGGTATTGCTCGTTCTTTCGATTATCAATCCGTAAAAAAACGCACCGGTCTTGGGGTATCCAAAATGCGTCGATATTTGTTATGCCTATAGAACGTCAACATTGAGGTGATTTTAATTTCCCTAAACCATTGCAATTTTTACGTTGGAATCGATAGCGTAACAAATAAAGTGCGCTCGGAGAGAGCAGCTGCTTAAACTTGCCAGCCTCACACTTCATACCATCTGCTATCACGTGTCCTGCCTCACACCTCACAACACCTGCTAATTCGTGCCCTGTCTCATACCTCACAACACTTACTAATGCTATATCCAACACCCGTTCCAGCTATACAAGCTCCCAGCTATATCCAACACCCGTCCCAGCTCCCAGCTATATCAAACACCCGTCTGAATACAAGTCCCTTTCAGAAAAGCTCAAGAGAATCAGGATCCTTTTAATCCTCCCTCTACGCTGCTTAACTCCCTTATCCCTAGTCTAACACCCTCACCCCTTAGTTGTTCTCCCTTATCACTGACTGACCTCCCTGGTCTTTCCTTAGTCTTCCTGTCCTGGTTTACCCTCCCTTATTGTATGTCCTGGTTTACCAGGACAGACCTATAAGCTTATCGCTCTGCCTATCGCTCTATCTTCTCCTCCCTTGCTCTCTCTATCGCCTTTTTCTTTTTTCTAATTCTGTCACCCCGTTTTCTCCCTGGCTCTTCCTATAGCATTGGTTGCTTCTCCCTGGTTCTCCCTGATGCCCGGTGTCCTCCCCTTGCTCTCCCTGTCACCCTGGGCATTCTTCCATTGCAGCTGATAGGGCCGTCTTAAGGCCCTGGTTGAGGAAGCTTTGTCAGAGGCGGCGTGTCAAGCCTTACACCGGAGGACAGTGACAAAGTATCCTCAACCAGCAAGTACACACACCGACACATCTGCAGTGTTGGTTTCCCCTTCCTTGCTCTCTCGCTCCCTTCCCATCTACCTCCTCCTCTCTCTGTCTGTGCCTTCCCTTCGTAACTGAATTAAAGATCTCACTAATACCCTTCGTCTTTCTGATATAAATCTCGTCTTTCAACATACTAACACACTTCGTAGTAATGTGGTTCACACTGCTCGTCCTGCTTCCTATGCTGCTGGTGTTTATTCTATTTCCTCTTCCTCTCCAATACTTTGATGAAACTTAGTGACAAACTAACACCACACAAATTAAGTATTAGGTCTGCAAGCCCAAACAATGCTCTCTTCTGTCATGCTAGGGACTCTAATCATCCTGTAGATTGGTCTTTCTAAAATAATCTTTCCGGCCTCTTCTCTCCACAGACGCCGTCTTGTCGAATCTGCTCATGCGCAAGATGCGCTTAGTCCTGCCTTTGTTGCTGTGACCCTTGTCTTTCACAGCATGTAGTGAAAAGTTTTAGTCGTCTGACAGACGTAATCTAGCTTAGCCTTAGCAACAGAAAAGAGAGGATAAAGGAGCTATCTGTTTGGTTTCTAATTCACCTCTTTCCCTTTGCCATTAGGCCTTCTGTTGCATTATTTATACGCAAAATGCTAAGGTATAATTCGTACCATCCCCCTTTTCACTACAAATCCTTACCTTATATAATGACTGCCTTCATCTCTATTTACACGACGTGATAATGGTTCAAGATGGCATGAAACGTCGCCACTTAATTTATTTTTTAGAAGTGTGGGTTGTTTCTCTTACTTCACTACATTATTTCTCCTTTTACTTAACCTAAGTCTCGACTTTTTCTAAGTCCGATTTTTTCCATTTTCTGCTTAATTCCTGCCGATTTCTCAATTCAGCTTTTCCTATGTGCGACAAGCTGCCGCAACGCCTTGGAGGAACTGTGAAGCTTGTTTCCATCATTTCTACAGACATTCGTGAAGGCACACTTAAGGGCGACCCACCAAACACGTGTGAGAGAGAGACGCTTCCAGCTGCTAGACAGATGGCATCTCCCTGAAGGGCATCTATTTATCCCAACACTACGCATAATTAGGAGGTAGATGAATAGCTAGATAAATGACTCCATGCAAGGATACACAATGGAGAGAGAGAGAGAGAGAGAGAGAGAGAGAGAGAGAGAGA